TCTCACTCCATATCCCACATTAATGCAATCACTCAAAAAATTTTCACCAGAAAGCATTCGCGCTATTGCTCGAAACCCAAATATAGACTTACAATCAATAGGAATCTATTCAAAATCAGATATTCAACATCACATTAGAACACAACAATTCCAAGAATTATTAACACAAATGGACACTATACAAAGACAATCAATAGACCAAAATTTACGCAAACTTGCAGAAACCGCAGGATTTGCCGATATCTACACGCAAGACTATAGCGGATATTTTAAAGACATTAAAGATTATATATATCTAAACGGTGAAAAATACCGTCCCCAAGATATATCACCAATTAACATTTTTAGCTTTGTTACACTCAAAAATGAGATCCTCGATTTTCTAGGATGGCCCTACTACATCTTAGAAAAATTGACTATTTTATACGCAATGTTTAACTTTATTGGATTTCTTTTCTCACTTTTAAAAGGAATCTACAACACATGTGCTATACACACACAAGTCAATCGACAAGCAAGTGTAGCACGCATACTCTTTGCAGGATTTTTTGGAATCTTTTCTACATCTATAAACAAAATTCTTTTAGACGCACAAATAAAAGAATATAACACAAAAATAGCAACACGACAAAATACATACGACGAAGAACATAACAATGTAGACATAACGCCAACGGCACCACAATTACCAGCCCTACCAAATAACCATCCACTATCCCTAGTCCCACGAAATTTTCGAAATTTAGCCATCACACATAATCCAAATTTTCGACTCACCACATCACAAAGTCCCATTCAACATATAATGACACACCAGTCACAAGATGATAATACTTATGAACAAATTATTGAACAACCCCATACCACCGCTTTTCAGTCTCAAAATAATCATTTTTTTAGCCCACGATGAGCCGCCAACTTGGATCACTACACCAATCAAATTCCCACCCAACCAATTTTACCTCTCCAATCCCAATAATACCACTTTTTGCTTTTCCGCCACCCGATTTTCCACCTAGTAATGTAACATCAGGCATGAATTCCGACACTAATTCACACATCTCAGTTTTATATTCCATCTCACAACTCAATAACCCGAATATTGAAACCCCCGATGAATTTGCCGACTCAGAACCATCCCCATCCAATAATTTTCATAACTCTTCTAATTTTTCTCAACCCCCTTTTCAACCCATATTATCCAATAACCCTGACCCCATTACTCCCACACCCTCTTATGCTTCCCAAGTTACCCCAACCTACTCCTCATACCATTCTGACCAATCATCTCATTCTCCAGACACCCCCCGAATCTCCCCAGAGCTAGATAATTTTATTACCCTTCAACAACAACCCTACCACCTTAATACCCCAACCATAAACCAAATCTCCTCCACAATAAATTCATCCAACCCCCTACCCCTACACCCTCTTCAAATTATACTGAATCATTAGCACCATCATCCACATCAACTGAATCTTCACTCAACACTAATAGAGCTTACCGCACTTTTAAAAGAAAGTTCCCCAACCATCCTTTCCCAGCAAAACCAGGAACAGCCCGTGAATACATCAACCACCCCAAGCATACTAACACAAAAGAATTTTTAGCCATCACCTTACCCTCATTCCCACAATACACCTTAAACACCCCCCACGACACTAACGAAACACGCAACTTTGTAGATGAATACGTTTTAATGCCCACTCTCTCTTGGACCTCATATTATCATTTTACTAACCCTCTTTGCTTACCTTTATCTAACACTCACATCGATATAGAGCGAAATACGGACATGCTATATCGACTCACTACACCACTAACCGCTAGACAATTTACTTACGTTGGATATAAAAAATCACTAAAAACACACACTGCACCTAGAGCTAACGAATATACACTCGAATACTATGATCACAACATCATCAGAGCTAACCAAGATCAATTCTTAGACGACGATCGCTTCGCTAATCCACAAATTACTGAGAAATTTTTCATCAAGACACCATATATATTTACACTAAACATCTTCGACCGAAAGTTTGATCACATTATTTCAGAAGCACTAATAGACACACAAGCATACGAAAGTTTCAAAGAACGCTTCCAAATATTTTCACTAACCTTTCATTTCCTTGCACCACACGAAAGAGATTTACACTGCTCACACGATATTATGTTGCGCACTAAACAAACCCACACATATAGTTATTATCGCTTCATCCAAAATCACTTTGACCTACACACACCCTCTAGACAACCACACCATCGTTTTCAATTCATTAATTCCAAATACACTTCACCATTTTTCCTAAATTTCACATATTGTATTAAAGACACTAACCTTCATGGTATTCTTCGTAATTATGACCCCATAACCCAAATGTACATCTTCTGTCCCATCACCAAGACCTTCAACGCCGAAGAATCCCGACCCTTCCTTATCCCGCACGAGTTTGTACAACCCATAGAAATCCCAATTTTAGAATTCATCCACAACACTAAATTCAATCACAAATTATATAATCTAATCCAAAACACACCTTATGAGTTTGCAGTTGGCACTGAAGAACTAACCACTATTAAGGCACTTCAATTGCTTTGGCCACTGCTTCAGACTAAAAATATCATCCGCATCTTAGCTAAACTACTAACAACTTCAGAACTAATTCACGACATCTTCCCCCACGGTTTTTTCCCCGACGACTAACAGGTAAGTATGAATTAAATGAATATTACTAACTAATTAAAATATTAAAAAACTCACCATACTTTATCCATGTTTTCTTTAGATTTTTAGCCTTCATCCGACAATCACCTACAAAAACCACAAAAGACAAATAAAAATCGCAAATTTCATCAAACAGATTTCAAAAATTCTATTAATCTCTTACACTTATAAATTTATAAATTTAATACCAATGCAATAAATTCATTTCTAAAATTTTCCCCACAAGCAGTAAATCTAATTATGATGAAAATTTGTAATTTAAAATTCCCCCATAACTAGCAGTAAATTTCAAAATTCTATGCAGTAAATTAATAAGAAGCAAATGCAGTACTAACCTTTTGATATTCTCATTCATTCGCACAGAAATTCTATCCACACTCGCACAGCTCGCCCACGAAGAATTGTTTAAAATAATGAATTTCAGTTTCAAGTTTTCACACTCAACAACTCTAACATATAATAACATGTTTCAAACCTTCCTTTAACCCGGTTGGAAAGGAATCATATACTAAACAAAACTAACCAACGCAGCTTACTAAATACCACAAATCATAGAATAACAGCATGACTAAGAAAAGGAAACCAACGGTACCCAAACCGGATTAACCCAGTTTAAAACTGGATAATTTATTCTTTTGAAGACTATTATAAAGTCTAAGAAAGAAATAATAAAACACAAAAAAGTCAAAAGACAAACCCATACCACGAACAATTTGCTTTTTGGAAAAAGGACATAACCAACAAGACATAAGAAAAACCACAACAAACCCAACATAAAACGTTGTCACATAACAGGACCCCTCACAAAAACCGCATGAAATCATACTCCCACTCCTGGCCTAACCCACCAGGAAGGACGTCCTGAGCATGCTCTATAGCCGGCCTAACCCACCGTGCTACATCCACGCTTTGTGACCACACCTCTATTTTTAATAAGAGCTACTCAAGTGTGAGTAACTCTTCAAAATAACCGAACTAAAACAAAAAGCTTTTGTGAAAACAACTAACTAAAATCATAATTAAAAAATATTAAACTAATAAATGTTTTATAAAATGTAAATTACATTATGCAATACATAGATCAGAATACAACACCAAGGACGAACATCTAAAGACAAAACGACCCCACTACACTCGAGAGAGAATGACCAACCACAATCGATATGCCACTCACAATCACAACTCAAAGGATTTAGAGTACGACTTGACTTCGCAGAAAAGGACTTCATTGAACTAGACCAATGACCACCTCGATGTTCAAGTATACGTACAGATCCGAGTAACCAGGCATCCCCTCCACGCACAATCTCCACGCCATTCCCAAACTAGATCAGACACAAAAGAAGTTCTCCACGCAGAACAGAAAAACCTGACATAGCCAACCATTCTGAAATCAGATTTGAGTTTGTTGCGAAGACTTAGTCGTTGTCACTAGAAGACACAACGTCTTATGTCTCTAACTCCAGCTTCCTGGAACTTCTTTAACAAAAAGGAAACAGAAGAAATAAGATGTTCGCCAAACACCAACGTCCATCATCCATCCTTCGAATTGCAGAAGAACTATTCTAAAAAACTCTGTAAAACCCGGATGGGTGGAACCTGATCTAAACTACATTTTATGATTGGATAATTTAGATATTTTACCAATGTAAAGTATTTAATATTAACCAATCATGATCCATCTAACTAACAACCCACTTATTTGTAAGTGCTGAAGTTACTTGTAATTTCAGCACCAGAGAGATTTGAATTTAACTTAGAAATTAGTTGGACTCTCCCGAGCACTTCAGCAACCGCAATAAACCAGTATACCCTAGATCTATTGAGCCTAGCAGAGACTAGTTAAACAACCTGAGACTAGATAGTATAAGAGTAAGATTAGGATCGGTATTAGACTAAGAAATTGCACGAATCTATCCGGCCGAAAATAAGATAGCGTGACGAGCAGACGGTGTACCCTATCCGAAATTACTCTATGAGTTAACCAACTCGGTCATAACTCAGTTAGCATTTTTTGTGGAATTAAAATTGAAAACGTAATTCGAGTTTCAAATTTTGGAGTTTCTGTGAAAACGTGCTAACACTCTCAATTTAAATAGTTTTCTTTGACCCATACTTTTTCATTAACATCCTGACTTTTTATTCAAATCCCTGCTAATGTGAAGTTTTGCTTTTTTGTTAATGCTATTACATTTAGCGAAGATATATCCCTTCAGAATTGATAAAACTGGCCCTTTGTTCTTTTAATTTCGAATTGTTTCGAATTAGGTGCTATCGTTGCTAACGACTACCCTGCAATAAGTAAACCACCTGCCAATTCCGCAGTCGCTGTCCCCGGCAACGTAGTCGACAATAATGATGCCGAACAGGGCGGCGAGGGTCCGGCAGAAAACGACCCACTAAAAGACAGCATTGCAGCTTTCCTTAAGGAAATGGAGGCGGGAAAACAGGTAAACAATAACGATTCAGATGAAAACGACGACGACAACGACGAAGATGGCCGCCACTCGGACGAAAGTGACTCGTTGATTTGTCGCCCGACTGTCGTGAGACGTGGCGGCAACACACAGCTATACTCCGGAAGCCCCAAAAGAAAACGAATAAGCGTGTCGGAATTCATGCCGAAGTTCTATAAGAGAGACGAGAAGTCGAAATTGGGAAAAGCTCCTCCTACTTCGTTCAAGTTTGTTCATACATTTTACCATTTTACAATTTTATTGTGGGTGATATAATGTTTAACTCAAGTTCACTGATTGTTCCAATCACTTCACGAAGTGGGAAGGAACTATAGCGTGGGGCCTTTTTAGCCGATTTTGAATACTTCAAAGAAAGCTCGTAGGTGTTTAAAAGTGGTAGAATATTCAAGCCCTTTCATCAATAATTGGAATTATCGAAGTGTCCAGAAAACTTGGTACTAAAGTTTTCGGGTTATCAGACTAATTTAGACCTGAGGCTGACCACCGAAACACTACAATTTTCATTTTATTTTAGTATTTATAATTATCCATTCCTTCTTTTTGTCACCTAACTCAATAGCTCGTTCGAGAAAAAAAATTTAAAAATTTTGCTCAAAAAGTGGAAAAAAAAATGAAACTATTTTTTTGATTGTTTACATTTTTTCTTTTTTTTGGTAAGTTAATCTTTAATCAGTGTGGTCGGATTATTCTGTTCTTTTGCAGAGCAACCGGCTATCCTTGTTCAGTTTTTCACATATTTTATAAGTATATATTTCGTTTAATGGTGCTCATTTCCCCTTATAAGGATGAAGTATGTTTATTAGGTACGCAGTTTACGTACATAAAGCGAAATTGGAATCATTTTTGCACAGCGCTTCATGAGCTTTTACTTTGAGCTCTTACTGCATGAAGATTTTACTTTTGAAATAATAATTTTTTCGATGCGGCTGTTAAATTGTTAGAGCTCTTACTTGGGAAATCAATGCAAATCAGCTGCCCTGAAACTTCATATATCATTTAGATCAGCCGCTTTGCTGAAAATGGCACCGCCAGTACTTCAAGAGGTATTTCATTTCAGGTCGACCAATTTTCTGCGCATGGAACGAGAAAGCAGATGCAAACTCGATCGTCACAAAAAAGTTTCGACTGCCTCAGAAGTTTCACAGAGCCAGATGTATCATCAGAAAGCAATGGACATTGAACTGGAAAAACGATCTAAAAGCATGTCAATATCTTCAGTTTATTCCATGGGAGGTAAAAATGACTGGGAAACTTTCCAGGAAAAAACAAAAGAGTTTCAGAAAAGAAAACTTTACGAGGATCAAAACAACAGTGAAAGTTTGGACCAGCACAAGCGTCACTTTTCGTCTAGCAACACACATTCCAACAATTCAGTTCCCGCCCGTCGAATGTTTATAAAACGACCAGGGTCGCTCGTCACGGGGAAGTTTAAAAGGCATAGTTTGCAGCCTGTTAGACTTCTAAGTAATGTCTCAAACAGCAGACCTCAAAGTATTCTAGAAGACGAAGTTCCACAAGTTTCGGATCCTTTCAGAGCAACCAGTTCAACTCTATTGTCCCCATACACTGCTTCTTCGGCGACACGCCGACACAAGGATAGTTTTGAAACCACGACCAATTCGGAATGCGATGATTCGCTTGACGATTTAACGAGCATTCCGAGCATTTTAAGTGTGAACGAATCGGGTTTAGCATCCCGAGATCCAAACTTGAGAAGTTTTAGCATTGACTCTGCCGCGATGGGTTTGAAAAAGACAAACCGTCAGAGAACGGCAAAAAAACTAAACATTCATCAATTTCCAAATTCACATTCATTTTATACGCATGATGAAATGCAAAACCAAAGTTCGCGAAAAAACACCGCCAATTTATCGAGCTGCGACGTCTCGTCTATTAGCAACGGGGACCACATTTTATCAAACGCCAGTTCAAATTCCAGTTTGGCCTCCCAATTTCTGAACCAAGATACAATTCTAAAAGATGTCAATAACATAGACTACGCTAACGCCAATGCTGCCCCAACAATTTTAGACCAGAGTCCTATTTTTAAACGGTTAAGTCCACATAAGTTGCCCGAAAAACCTGCTCCGTATGCAAATATGTTCAACGGAGGAGCTGTATCATCGAGGAAAAATTCTCCCATAGATTTTGGACCAGGAATCAGTACAACTCCAAGATTAATGATCGAGAAATCGTCCGCCACGAATGGGACTGAATTGAACAGTCCTGAAATAACAGTGGCACAACGTAGAAACTATTTTGGAGGACGGGAATTTGCTTTTGCATCAAATATTTAACGAAACCAACCTAATGTAAAATATAAACTTATATCGCTTCTTATGGGTTTTCGAAAGACTCTTCTAAGAACAGATCTTTATTCCGAGAACTTGTTCTTTTTATCCGTCTTTTTTCTCTCCCAGAGCTAGTTAATGTTTAATGTGTTCACGCGCTTATCCGCTGTGCCTTTATGTACACAATTTCCTTAAATACGCAATAGTAATTTGTAGAAATTAAATTGGTTTATTCAATCAACCTTCTTTTCTATTTCAAGGCCAAACACCATCAATCAGTGCTCTGCAATAAGTTTCAACTTCATTTGCGAAATACAAAATTAAAATCAGACGCCGGGGAACTTAACTGACCCGAAAAAATATTGTGTTTGAACTCAATGAAGGTTGCTTTTGAACTTTATTGATTGCGTTTGTAATGTGGAAACTAACGGAAGTCATTTTTCAAGCATATTTATGCTTGACAAACAGGCCAAAAAGCTTGCTTTTGCAATTCATGGGTTAGGATATCAAGCGAGCACTAGGAAACAATTTACATGATTTATCTTATTTTCCTTTATTGCTCCGGGTGTTTTTTCATCCATAATTTTTCAGTTCGAAATTACGAAAACTTAAACAGAGAACATAGCCGAATAGGTAGAAGAAAGGGTCGCCTTGGAACCGTCAAAACCGTCTTATCAATACCCTAGCAGCAAACTTTGAGGGAGAAAATTCGAATTCGGGTGTGTTTTGTCTCGCAAAACCATTTATTACTAATTAAGGTCAGAGTTGGCAATCGAGACCTTGCATTGAAGTCCTTTCAGTTAAGATCAAACACGTATGTACAAAAGTTTCAAAATCTCAGCGCCAAAAACAATGAAGGAAATTTAGGCTTTTTAGGCTCCCTAGACTCGTCAATGAACTGAGTAAACTGCAAATACTCAAGCATTTATCTAAATACTTTTACACTCCCAAAGACATAAAACTACTCGGCTCACGGCCAATTCAAATGTTGCGGCGCTGGATGACCGAGGGGTGATGCAGGGCAAAAACACTTAGACGGTACAACCCAACTAAACGAGTTTAGGGAGTTGTTTTTCCGTATGGTGACTTAAAAACTTGTGATACGACATGGAAACCTTCTCAGAAGCCCTCAAAGTCTGCCACAAAGCAACAAAATTGGAGCTCTTTTTTGCACTCATCGTTGCAATCCTGCTTCTGATGTCCTTTTACAGTGAAAAGTAATTTTTGTAGCAAGAAACTACGCAATACTTCCTTTATTTCCTCTAATTTGAAAGAGGATCCTCTCCTTTTTGTTGTCACTTAATCTACAAAATGTGATGATGAAATGGAGGAAAGCATTGACACGTTGCGGCGAAACGTCAGATTTAATTTTGTTTCAAGTTAAGTTCTATACCTGTTACTAACTGAAAATTTTTCAAAATCATTTTTCAATCCATCAATTGCACCCTCTCCCTCTGAGAAATCCTGGCTCCACACTAAACCATTGAAATCATATTGGAGCATTTCAAGTCATAACTTTTGAGGCATTTCAAGAATTGGTTACGTTTTAGGTTGAAAACTTTAACTTTGTTCTTATATTGCCTATTTATTGCGTAGGATATTTATTTCACAAAACTATCTTTACCCGGAAAAAATGAGCAAAACAGAAAAACGAAGGAAAAACTTATTTTGGTGGTTACCCGCACTGTAGTTCCATGGATAATAATCGATTATATTGTCATTTTATTGTCAGTATCTATAAAATTACAAAAATAATCGACTATAGTCTACCAAAATTGGATGATAATCCTATTTTTTTAACCAATATAATCCATTATAATCGTTTATATTCGATTATAATCCATTAAAAATAGATTATAATGTTTTTTTAATCATTATAATCCATTATAATAGATTATAATCGATTCTAATGTATTTTTTGAGAAGAATCGATGAATTTGCAATTTTTTTTTCAAAATTATCTTTTTATCTGTTTCGTACAGTTGCTACTTCATAAATTCGTACTTTTCACATAAGATTTTAGGCTCCCTAGACTCGTCAATGAACTGAGTAAACTGCAAATACTCAAGCATTTATCTAAATACTTTTACACTCCCAAAGACATAAAACTACTCGGCTCACGGCCAATTCAAATGTTGCGGCGCTGGATGACCGAGGGGTGATGCAGGGCAAAAACACTTAGACGGTACAACCCAACTAAACGAGTTTAGGGAGTTGTTTTTCCGTATGGTGACTTAAAAACTTGTGATACGACATGGAAACCTTCTCAGAAGCCCTCAAAGTCTGCCACAAAGCAACAAAATTGGAGCTCTTTTTGGCACTCATCGTTGCAATCCTGCTTCTGATGTCCTTTTACAGTGAAAAGTAATTTTTGTAGCAAGAAACTACGCAATACTTCCTTTATTTCCTCTAATTTGAAAGAGGATCCTCTCCTTTTTGTTGTCACTTAATCTACAAAATGTGATGATGAAATGGAGGAAAGCATTGACACGTTGCGGCGAAACGTCAGATTTAATTTTGTTTCAAGTTAAGTTCTATACCTGTTACTAACTGAAAATTTTTCAAAATCATTTTTCAATCCATCAATTGCACCCTCTCCCTCTGAGAAATCCTGGCTCCACACTAAACCATTGAAATCATATTGGAGCATTTCAAGTCATAACTTTTGAGGCATTTCAAGAATTGGTTACGTTTTAGGTTGAAAACTTTAACTTTGTTCTTATATTGCCTATTTATTGCGTAGGATATTTATTTCATAAAACTATCTTTACCCGGAAAAAATGAGCAAAACAGAAAAACGAAGGAAAAACTTATTTTGGTGGTTACCCGCACTGTAGTTCCATGGATAATAATCGATTATATTGTCATTTTATTGTCAGTATCTATAAAATTACAAAAAAAATCGACTATAGTCTACCAAAATTGGATGATAATCCTATTTTTTTAACCAATATAATCCATTATAATCGTTTATATTCGATTATAATCCATTAAAAATAGATTATAATGTTTTTTTAATCATTATAATCCATTATAATAGATTATAATCGATTCTAATGTATTTTTTGAGAAGAATCGATGAATTTGCAATTTTTTTTTCAAAATTATCTTTTTATCTGTTTCGTACAGTTGCTACTTCATAAATTCGTACTTTTCACATAAGATTTTATTTCTTAAAGTTTTCTCTACTTTTTTACGTTTACTACATAAACTCCATCGACTCTTTTAACAACCCTTTTCCCCAGTTTACCCCCTCCCCCAAGATTACCCCCGCCGTCCCACAGTGTACCCCCCGCCTTCTCCCCCACCCAGTTTACCCCCCGCCTTCTCCCCCACCCAGTTTACCCCTCCTCAGTTCCCCCTATCTTAGTTTAACCCTTCCCCCCGTGGGTGTGTTACTGAATGTGAGGGAGGGTAAAAAATGGGGGGAGGGTGGAACAAAAAACTTGGGTGAGGGGGTTAAAATGGAGAAAATGTAAACAAAAGGGGGGGGGGGGGGAAGACTGTAGCTTGGGGGGGGGTTGAGTTTGGGGGTAAACTTTATTAAACATGGAGGTGGGGGTTTGGGCAAATATGGATAGAGTTCAAGATGAAGGGGGTCAATTTGAGTAGCTTAAGATTGCGAGTAGGCCGAGAGTAACGCAGAAATAATGCAAAATTAGCAAATGATTTTGCAAAAAAATGTGAAGATTATAATTCATTAGAATCAATTATAATGGATTTTAAATGAATGATTTTAAATGAAGGATTTTGTTTTTACGAAATTAATCGATTATGATGACATTATAATCGATTTCGTGGTCTAAATGTGCAACAATAATGGATTATAATGACAACATTTTTGACAACACTTTTCCATTATGTTCGATTATTGACCATGGAACTCCGTTGCGGGTACATTACATCACTCTGAGCTTATTGTACAAAAATCGACTATTGTTATTTTTCTCAGCTTCAATTTACGTAGTTGTCAGTTTGAAGTCTTAGCTATTCTATAGCAAAAAAGGCACAACAATACTGCTCGTATCAGGGCGAAGCTGATTGTTCCGACTGCCTTTTATGTCTATGGAGCAGTACTAACTCGACAAGTTTAAATGTAATAAAACAAATATAAATCTTTTTTTAAATTTGAGATTTTTTGTTAAATTATCTCCCCACACGTCATAATAAAAACAAAGTGATACATTTTTGCTCCTAATAACAAATCAATTATGGCATATAAGCTTCCTCAAACCAATTTGGAACGATTTCTAAGACGGATTAAATCTCTGCTAACGCGTTAATAGCGCGAAATATATCGCGCGTTAATTGTCCCAAATTGACAAAAAAAAACATCTTTAAACCCCCATAACTTTACGAAAAATGATCACAGGTGAAATATTTTATCAAATTCAAGCTCAGGACAACAATAGCTTTCGAATGGTATAAAAACTTCAGATAAAAATACCAAATTCGTCTGAAGAAAAAAACCCAACCCGAGAACAATTATTCCGTTACTTTCATTTTGAAAGTCGCAACAATAACAGATATATATCTTGTAATTGAAGTTTGTTAAAAACTCGTACGAAAAAAACTGTAGATTTTCGCGAACAACTTGCGAAAAATTTTTTGAGCTGCAAATGAAACGATTGCCTTATAAAAATGTTTCCATTTTACCTTAGAAAATGTTCTTGCACTTCATAGTAAATTACAGTAGAGAAGATTTAGCACGCTCTAAAAAGATCTTGAGGTTGAAAAATAAAAAGCAAAGAAACTGACAAAAAAAGCAGCCGAGAGTAGCATTTCCTGTCCTTTTTGGAAGTCAATTGGAATGAACCTTTACAGCGAAGCAATTAAAATGAGAACTTCGTAGAATTATTTCCTTTCATTATATAAAAGCGAATGTGACTCTCAAAATGCCATCCTTGCGTTGAAGCTTCACATGTTTCAGTAACACTAGATATTTTACTGTTCCTGTTTGAAAAAGAGAGGTCTGACATGATAACTCACAACAATCAATAAACAAGACTGCTTGTATCAGGGCGAAGCCCTGAAAGCTGCGACTGCCTTTTAAGGTCTATGGAGCAGTAATAACATAACAAAATTAAATGTCATAAAATAAAATCAAAAAAATTTTTTCTGAAATTTGAAATTTTTTGTGAAATCATCCCCCCACGCCATATAAACTAAAAAAGGATAGATTTTGCTCCTTTTAACAAATCAATTACGACAAATAAGTTTT